TTTTTTGTATACCTCCCCAGACGTTCACTATTACATAAGTCTTTCTTGAAGCTCGAGGTACAACTCATGTTTTTCATTGTGACATAAGCTGTGAAAGCTGAGGTGGACTGTATATGAGTATTTAAGGCCTTCTATTCCGATATAATTTTAAACCCCTATTTGTTGCTTTTTTTTTAAATTTTGGAGTTCTCTTTGTAGATTTCTAACAAAAAAGGTCATCAATTTTTTAATGTTTCATTAAAAAATTTAAAAAGTGGATATTTTAAACACATTTACTCACGCATAGTCCCTTTACGACCCATGTTTGCTCTTGAAAGTATGTCGCCAAGGTGGATATCAGAGGTTATCAAGTCTGGATGGTCCTAGGAATTTAAAAAAAAAGTCATTAATGATATAGTGAACAAATGTTATCAGAATCATGCGTTTTGTCTCCGTCTCTTGCAACTTACCGGTTGTCGCTTCCTCTTCTCACGATGATTCTGCAGCATGACTTTTAAGTCCTGCTCACCAAGTTCTATTTTTTCTGTTATGATAATTATAATAATAATAATAATAATAATAATAATAATAATAATAATGATAACAAATTATGTAACAAAGAAAAAAAAAAAACACTTCCTGTGCTTAAACAACACAGTAACATTATTCAGTACATCATGTGATGACATGTGATGACATGACAGATCACGTACCAGTACTCTTCATGTCTTGAGTGGAGAGGCTTGGTAGCACTCTGACTGAGACCGTGGGTGTTGGAGAAGAGGGTGACTGAGGTGCCGGAGTCCATGGTGATATATCTGGAAGGCATCCAAAGGAACTGGTATGGTCAGTCTTGTAATGATTCAAATTGATGTATCAATCAATCTGTATGTTTAAGTTTCCTCTCAATTTTTCATATTCATGTTAGCTGTCAGTGAAGTGCTTCATAGATTACAAAATAATGTTATTAGCATTAGAAACACTCATCCAAGACCAGACAAACCATCATCATCAGATGAAGCATTGCTGTCCCCACACTCAGCTTTGACCTCCTTCATTATGCGGCTCAATCTTCTTGTCACCCTTGCCTCCCGCATTTCTGCATGGGTTTTGGTTGGTAACCTTCTTTTATGTGGAAAGTCCAGACCATTTTGTACTGCAAAGTCCAGCAGCTCCTGCAACAAGAAATACATCAAAACTCACAGACAGAAGCTAAGAGGCTGTGTGCAGTCTTCCACAAACTTAAAAAACACAAATACCTTTCTGGAGACGAGGATCTGCTTCAGCAGCCTGTGGTAATACTGCTGAAGGCAGTGCACCTGTCGTTTCCTCTGGGACTTGGCACACAGTTGTCTGTACTTGACCACCTCAGGATTGAAATAACCATCTGGGTTGGGATAACAAGAGATGTGATGAGTAACTGCTTCAAAAATCAATTCAGCATCATTCACTCTTCTCAGCAGTAAAGTAAAGTGGTAAGCACCTCTGAATAGTTTTTGTGCAAGATGAAGGGGGTTCCCAAAGTTAAAAATTTTATTATTGAATAGGTCACTGATGGTACTGTCCTGCTCCACACTATTGTTCTCGGGAAACTGTGGCAGAAACTGACGAAGGTGCTGTCGCTGGGAATCTGTCAGTACTTCACGCCAAGTGCTTTCACTCAGCACAGAGAAGAAAATTTCAGGCTGTCGTAAAAAGAAGTGAACAGCAACATATGAAGATATGTGAAGCAAAATATGAACCGTGAAACAGCAGAAAAGAGGATAATTTCGCAACTAAATGCCAAACAACTCACGTCCTCCAGGAGGTCCTCTGGAAGGCTCACTCTGCAGTTCCCCAGCATGCACTCCTCGGTGATTTGCTCATCGTTCTCTTCTTTTGGATCAAGAGGGTCCGAAAGCATGTGTGCAAGGGCGTCCATTCTCCTCTGTTCCCACCTTCAAGTATTTCACATGACCACAAACCCTCGGAATACGTCTTTTCACTTATTCACGTTGTTCATTAAATAGTTTTGGGGTA